CTCGCCGGACTCGTTGGGGACATCGCAAGATGCTCCTTCAAGTTCTGTCATGTTTCGAGTTCTAACCTCGTTAGAGCTACGTATTTGTGATGTAAGACCAACTACGTTGGTTCTTAAAGGTTCAAGTGATCTAACTACGTTAGATTCAACTTTTTTCAGTTGTTTTCTTCTTATTCGTTAGAAATCGACTTGCTTGATGCGATGCACGTGTGCAATGACTTGACGCATGCACTGTGCTGTCTCATGGGCTCTCCATGCCTCCAGTCATGTGATAGAATAGTTGTTACACCAATGAGATTCATAGCCTTAACTCCACGTTCTCATCAGTGTACTGATCAACAGAGCGGAGCAGGGCTCAGAGTTAATAATGCTATGCGACACCCAGTATAATTTCCAGACTTTCCTTTTTAGGCATTTTAATAAAGGTCTGCCCCTTTTACAATACATTGCAATGTGAGACTTTCTCTGTTGTCTCTTCAAACACTTAGCACATTCATGCCACGTTTGCTGTAAATCGGAGAAATCTAGAGAAGTTATTATCTTTTCTATAATGTCCACCAGGCCAAGAAAACGAACGTTGAAGAGAACGTTTGTTCTCTTGAGACAGGATGACTCCTTACGTGTTCCTAGCACCAGCAAGTTGAAACAGCCAACTGATATTGGGAGAGTGAAAGAACTAGTCTTCACCAACACCGCAACGAGCAGACACGTGATGGAAATCATTGCTAATAATTTTCCTGCGTTGTTAACAAACGGGAATATATCAAGGTAAGCATCCCTCTCTCCCGATTTTTTCTTTCCCGATTTTTCTTAATTTCAGCCGCGAAACTATTTCTCTGTACCAGATTACAGTTTTACAGGCCTGTTGGCCAATCAATGGATTTGACATCTGTGGGCCATTAAGACCATGTGAATCTTTGTGTTAATTAATTCAGACTCACTCAGATTCTTCCAAAAAAGGCGGATTCTACAAGGGGTGCAATCAAAGTGAACGAAACAGGAAAATACAGTCCTTCCTATTTGTGTACTGTTAAGAATCAAACAGTGAATTCATTTGATTTTTCGGGTATTATTGTAAGTATCAATACATTTAACAGTTTTCAATAGTGACAAGAGATTCAGCCTTTGGTTTTCATGTGTATTGTGCACTGAGTGTAAAAGTGCCAATTTATAAGTCTTCTATACCTTTTAGACTTTTAAACAGAGATAAGTTTAGTTTTCATCCATATGTATTTTTTGGAGTGGTAAAAGTGAGTATTCCGAAAGAAGTACTTTGAGAACAATAAAACAGTCATAATTAGAAGTGACAATGTCAAGGGGACGTACTGATTCAAAATGTCTTAATACAACGATGAATATAATTCCCTTTAAAAATTTATTTCTTTTTCATTTATATTAGCATATAACATTTATTTTAGGCTCAAATGCCTTCAAAATGAAGGAAGAGTCTCTTTTCATAGTCTGTTATTTTAATAGCGAGTAGAAGATTTGACATGCTGGTCGCAGCACTTTAGCATTGCTTGCACGATATTCTGGTTCCTATTAAAGCTACCCTACTCTTGTAAAAAGCTCCATTGTCACTTGGTCAAAAGTGCTGCTTGCATCAGTAAACTCCAAGGCTTTTGACATAAGTTAGAGTTATGCAAGGCTTAAGACTTGAGCTGGATAAGTGTTATCATTCCTCTTTTTGCCATGACAATTACAGTCAAACCTCTTTAATACGGACACCAAAGGGACAGAACTAAGTGTCTGCTTTACAGAGGTGGCCGTATTATAGAGGTAGGGAATGTATGATTTTTGGCATTTCTGGGACAAAACGAACTGTCCGTAATAGAGAGGTGTCCGTATTATAGGGGTGTCCATAAGGAGAGGTTTGACTGTACTACATAGGGAGTAAAACTGTTTTGTATTTTTGTTGCGAGAGTGGCTCAACAGTTCTGACTGGTTTAATGTTGATCTTGCATATTGATGAGACCGTGTCATTTATCACTGCCATTTTCCAATTGGCTGTTGAGCGGAAGTTACAAAGGGTGGATCAGGATCCACTTGTGCTTGAAGGAGAAAGGAGATGAAGGAATGAATTGTTCTGGAAAGAGGAGGAACAAGATCTGCACTTTTCGACAACTGGGCATCTATGGCAATCTTCCTTTTTCACGCCATACTGGACTGGTCTCTGCTTCTGTGGCTGGAATGAATTGCATGTATACTACCTTTAAAGGTGGCATTCGTGAAAGGAATTTGCAAGAAGGGCCCTGTTCCCCAGCTAAAATGTTACAAACAATATTCTTTCCAATTGGAAGGATGAAATGTCTCTCTCAAGCACTCTTGATATTTCCTATCGTCAAACTCTTCAGCTTCGTCAAAGGGCACAAATTCCCGAGATCTGATTCTGCTGTATTTTGGCGCCTTCCCAAAACCTCTGCTGACAGACGCTGAACTGTTAACTCCTCTCCCTTTGCATGGCGTGGGTGATCTTTAGGAGGATCTTTCTTGGTCTGCTTTCTTCTTACTTTTTCATTTAACTATTTCCATGTCCACCATGATCACATGAATATGTGATAGTCAGCAAAGCATGCTGATAGTGGCGGCACTCAGCCCAGTCGAAAGTTAATTTTGATTACATTTGATTTGATTTTAATTTTATTTCAGTTTACTTTAATTTGATTAGATTTTTATTAGGATTTCACTTGATTTTAATTTCACTTCTCTTTTGATTTAAAATGAAAGAGTAAAATAGTTATACTTAAAGGTAAAAAATGAGAAAAGTACCCTACTAAAATTCAGATTTTTTGAGTGGCAGTTCTTGGCCACCGTAGTTTATTTTCGTGCAGAAGCTAGGCAAATATTGTCTTACATCGCTAGCTGTGGTGTGCTGGTTTGAGGAAGAGGAAGGACGAGTAAAATTTTCCTCAAGAATAAAATACGCGGGAACTTTGTAATTTTCCTGGAATACTAATTTTAGACTCCAACAACATAATGAATAAATCGCTAATTTGACCTTAAGTATGTGAGATTTACCATCTTGGTATTTTAATTTCTGTCCATAATTGTGATTTTGTTAATTTGTGTCGCAGGCCGTGTTGTGGGATCGCCATCTTCTTTCTGGGACCAGAAAGATCATAAAACATTAATTCCTTTTTTCTCTAAAATGGGCAAAGTCTAATTTCCAGAATAGGAGGTTCGATTCAGAGGTCACACAGGTTTATATTCCAGATATTTTTTCACCTATTTGATCAACTGTAATTCACATCAATCCTTTTGAGTTTGAGCCTCTGTTTATTTCGCAATTTCATCAAATTCAGTACAGGCTCTTGCTTGGTATTGGCCAGTGTTTGTCACATGAGTTCAGCACCTCGTTTTTCTAAAATGTCAATGTTTCGACCTTGCTTTTTGCTTCACTTATCTCTAAAAACAAGTACAAGATTTCTTGGTAAATATTCCGTTGAACAAAAATGACTTTTGTGATTGGCATTACAGACCGTTTAGCAACAAACATTTTTAACATCATGTAACAGTAACTCTTGAACATTAGTAGCTCATACACGTCATATAATTACTAAGTACAGTAAATTACTTAACATCTTCTGATGTTCATTTCAGGAAAATGTGCTTTCTTTAATGTTCAGTTAATCTTTGCAACTGTAATATTTAGCAATTAATGAATAAGGCAGAGTAGGATATGAAGAATTATGCAGATCGATGAGGGTGTTATCCATCGAGGCCTGATAACACCCTCTGAGATCTGCATGAGATCTTTTTAGTATATACCAAAACAGTAGATAGTCTTTTTCGCATGCTCTGATTGGGTACCCAACCACTGAATATCCAGTGCTATTCACTGATTGACCTCTGAGCAAGCGACGCCAAACTTGCATAAGTTACGAGCAACAACAAAGAAATTTCACAAATAAGCAAGCTGTTCCCAAAATCCAGGAAAAAGGATGGTGACAAAGTTCGGTTTTGAAGTTTTGACAGGTAAAGCTTTGTCTTTTTGACTTTTTTGAATTTATTGCTGAAACCAGTGAAAAAGTTTTTGTTTACAAATGCAAATTAAGCTTAAGTCTTGCATTACTTTATTCAGTTGACTTGTTCATAAATAAACGTAAAACTAAAGTTTATAAGGGAACGCGTCCAAATATCGGCATCGGGTCATGCCGATGCCGATCAATCGGGTGCCGATTTTTTCCGATTCCGTTTTCAATCGGTACCGATTGAAACGGAATCGGCACCGTTCAGAATTCTTCATCGGGCCAATTAACAGAAGTCATCAAATCTTGACTTATATCTGTCAGCGTTTGTCAAAGGGTTGAAATCGTCGGTCACGCTACGTTACTGACAAAAATTATATCGGGCAATGTTTATGTCAACAAAAGCAAAGCGTGAATGATTGAGTTTTCAATGTACAAACAGGCTGGGTAAGAACCAGTGTTTATCGCCGTATTGTATCTTGTCTTTCTGAAATGTGTATAGTTTCAAAAAAAAAATTTGCGACAAATGCCTTCATCGACGAGTTCTTATAGAAGACAATACCAGACAACATGAAGAATTTTTGTATCGAGCATCTTTAAGCGAAAGATAGCGCGCTGAATGCATTTACGACCTTTGAATCCAAAACGCGTGATTGAAGAATCCTTGCTGGAGGGATTTTAAAATCTTTTAGCCAAGAAAATAGAGGACAGAATACTGTCAGATCAGGCATTCATGACATTGCGTGTACAGGAGGGAACTTGAACCGGCTAGAATCGGGCAAGTTGTTTATTTGCTTGTAAACTTCTCTCATCGAGTCAAATTCACTGGATCTTTCATTGTTACGTTGATTGCACATTCCGTTGACGCTCCGAATTTTTTAAAAGAAACAACTAATTTTTCGCTCTTTTTCTGAAACGAGATAAAACAAAGCTTTCCATAAAATTTATTAACTTGAGTTAAAGAAAGGAAAGAAAACTGCTTCGAACGATCCGGCTTGCGACGTGCGATACGTATTGGATACGTAGGCAGAAGCAACTTGAAAACGCCGTTTTCATTTTCAGCTCATCAGAAGTGAATTGAATTATGATAAACTTTTAACTGCAAGTGAAACAAAATACAAAATATAAAACTAGCTTGAAAGCAATGTTTACATAGTTATACTGGTGACACCTTCAAGTTTGAATAAACTTTGTAAATAAACAGCAAGTTAGTACACTTATTTTATATATAATCTATGATAAGAATGTTCTTTTACCGGCATACGCTGAATATTCTTATTGTTCTGTCGGTTTTCAGTTGAAAATATTCTTGAATTATTCTTAGTTATAAATTTTATTACAGCTTATGCATGGCATTTCCGCTTTGGACTGTATTTGGGGTTTGAAACTGTATTCTTTCCGTTTATTGAAAGGAATTATTTTCTCGGTGGATTAGTTAAAAACACATGGCACCTTTTTTCAGAATTTCAAGACCCAAAAAAATTCTCAGCATCAGGCTTATTCTTAAAATGTTCTTAAAATTTCGCAACAGCATAGGCAGTCTATTAGTGTAGAAAAAAAAGAGTTTCCTAACCTTGCACTGAAACAAGCTCTATTGGCATTCACTGGCTCGTCAATAGAATTTCAGCAAAATTTAGATTTGTACCCCACCATTTTTTACAAGATCGTATAAAGCAAGGATTACTGATCTTTGAACACAGTCTTGCGACATTTCATGTTGATGGCATCTCTAAATTCGGGGGAATTTGCCACCCTTGCAAATTCAGTGGGAAACCTAAGTTTGGCCGCCTTAAATATATTTTTCATTCTACCTGGGGACAGAGCCTGTTTAGTGTATGTACTTCCTCTATACTTTCTGACACCCCCAACCAGACTAGAACTGGCCAACTCTTTTTTGTTGAACATGCCATCCATCAATTTGAATACAAAACCTTTGCAATTTGTTGAATTCGCAGCAGCGAAATTGATCAGGTCACGGGAAATTGGCCCATTGTAGGAGGCAAGTGGGGTGTTCCCCTCATTCAACAGGTTGGGAGGATTAGAATGATTAGAAGGTTCCCCCAAAGAGCAAGAACTTGTATTTTCCTCCATATGCACTGAGCTACTGGAGCTACTAGAGGGACCAGCAGTAAAATCACAGAAAGTGGGCTCGATTTGGGTGGCAAAAGAGGACGGCGTGCTTTCTATTGGGGTGTCCTCATTATTCCTTGCGTTAAACGAAGTAAGGTCATTACGATCATCCAAGCTGAAACACGGATTTTTATCGACACCATGTGAGTTAGAACGGTTTGAACATGGAAGAGAGATACTTTGGGAGGAAGGAGGAGTGATAACAGGGGTCGACGTGCAGCTGACTATAATAGGAGTGGAATCCATTGAAACTGGGGTCATTGAACCTCTTGGACTGGGCCTGGTTGAAACTGAAGAAAAGGCTGCAATCTGCAGAGCTTCTTGTCTTTTCTGAAGTCTCTTGTTCAACAGCTCTTTAATAGCGGTTAACGATTGTTGAATCTCGGTTTGATTTTGCAAAAGTTTTTCTTGGTTGCGACAAATTTCTTTTAAAGCATCCTCAAACTTCAGCTTTTCCAAAACGTCGTCAATTTCGTCCTCGCCCCACATTTTGTCCTGTATGAAGGCAGCAAGACAGTCAAAGATTTTCATTAGGTTAAATGGATCACACAGAACTCAGTTTTCACTTTAAAGGGGTTGTGTCATCGCTGTCTAAGTCTTTTTGTATATTATTGCCAACTACAAATATACTCGTCGTTATTCACGATGGACAAAATTCAAGCTTCGTGTCGGCACTGAACAAAAATGTTTCACAAGCATTTCAAACCTTACAAAACTGAACAAAAATGACCTTTGAGAAAACTAGGCAGAAAGTTCCCGAGCCTCCTTTTGTATTTGTTGTAACTACACTGTACATTGGTTACATGAACTTATAACTTCTTTTATCGTTTTGAGAAGCTATTTGTGTGTTTCATCTCAATTTTGTGGAGGTTTCCGTCTAAGGTTTCGGTCAGAAATTTCGTTACACAGCTCATTTAACTCCTGTACAGACCTGTACGGGTATTAAAATAATCATAATTCAAAGGAATGTGAAATAAGGCTTAATTCACCGGAAAAATCCACCTATTATATATAGGAATAAATATCACCGAAGATAAAAAGGGGGGTTGGGAGAGGGGCTCCGGAACACATACATTTCTTTATACAACTGTATTATTAAAATTGATTCAATGAACGAACTCAGTTTGTTTCGCTTCTATGTATATAAAAAAAGGTAATCCGACATTGACTAAATTGCATGTACACTCACCAAATCCTGCAGATCATAAAACTCGCTTTCTTCGTCTTCATTGACTGTTTCTTCGTCACTACCCTAAAAGCAGAGTTTCTCAACTTTAAATGATTTCAACGAAAACTCCTATAATCCCCGCCAGCATAGTGTGTAAGAGAAATTATATTGTTGAGCTCATTATGGCAGAAAACATATGTTATTTGTCCCTCGGAAGGATTCTGAATGAACAGGTCGGCGGCACAAAGTAAATTGATTAGTTATTTACGGGGAATTTTACCATTTTCATATACTTAACGTGTTGTGATATATCATAAAGAAACGCGTTAAAATGAAAATTAAAATCGTATGTGCATGACATCTTACTCGGTCGCAATTTTAATGTCTTGATACAATATGTACATTCTGCACGAAAAATCAACCACTTTTGTTTCACAGTTTCTTCCTACAGTTTTAAGTTGAGATGATGGGGAAAATAATAAATGGATACTCACTAAATGATCTAGGTCTGGTAATTCACTTTCTTTGTTGGTCGCTGTGTCCACATCTATAAAGTTTTCCTCACGTGTCACTTCATGAACACTTTCTTCAGGCTCCTTTTCTTTTATGTATTCATATTTTGCTACTTTTCCGCTTTTCAGAGTTACCTGTTGAAAGCAAATAAATTCTTTGTATAGATTTGCACCCGGTTTATACGGACTCGTCAAGAGGACAAAACCGATAATCGTTCGATGTAATACACTTTCACAAGTTTTGCACAAAAGTCAAATTTGGATTACTGTATAAAAAGATTTGGGCCAATTGCTTTTATTACTCATCAAAGTTAAGAAAATGTACATAAAGGTGATAGACACGGGACGATTCGCAAGGACGATTTTCAGCGCAACACCGCGTTGCAATGTTTTAACAATTCGCTGTGTTGTGCTAAAAACCGTCATTGCGAATCGTCTCGTGTAACATCACCTTAAATATAGCAATATACTGATAAATCAAATTGCGAGAGGAACTCCACGCAAGGTCAATCAATCTTTCAATAGAAAAATATAGAATTATCTAAATGATAATTCCCTGTGGCTCCCAGAAAGCAATCGGTCAGGGACACAACTTTATCGATGAGATAAAGATACCAAAAAATGACTAAAAGCAAAAATATAAGGAAGTGTAACTTGTGATATGGAAGGCTAACGACTCTCATAAACACGACAACAGTCAATGCGGCTCTAACACCGGGAACTAATTTTTTAGACAGCATTGATACATATTTTCAAACAATACTGTAGACTTACACAGGACATGCTGATGTCAATGATAAGAATACTGCACGCGAAACCTAAGCGCGCTAGCGACAAAGCCGCGAGCAGCGAGAAACGAGGGCGTAATCCCGAGTCAAAAAATCCCTTATTGTAATAATTACGCCGTGGTTTGCAATCGCGCTGGATGAGATAAGAACTACACGGATATTAAGAGAGAACGCGGACTGAAAGCAGTCTAACAATACTGCGGTATGCGATGTAAAACCAGTATTCGTTTCAAATGTTGTATACCGCTTTGTCTTTGAACGAAAGAGACAAGTTGTAATTGAACAGATACGGTTTCTTTTACTGTATTTTTGTGTGGCAAATTGAAGTTATTTGCGGGAACTTATTTTTGCGGATCGCTGGAAAAATCAGGGAAAAAACGCAACAATTGCGTTCAACACGGTAGCGCAAGCAAAGAAATACAGGATAACCAAAATTGGCTGACGAGTCACGCAAGAGCATCTTTGAGATATGGGATCACAGTTGGGTCTCTCTGTTATCCAAAAATCTATTCAGATAAACTTAGGTTAAAATGTATTTACCCTGCCGACAAAAAAATAAGATTTTGAAAAACTTAATGTCTCACCTCTCCTCTGAAGCAATCGTTTTTTGCCACCATTTCTGCCTCAGACCAATCGTGGTTGTGACACACACAGACCAGGTCATCCTTCTGCAGATGCTTAGGGTGTTGTCGTTTTGAAAAATTTGATTTCAACACTGGACGTCGCCTATCCAAAGGCCTTTCTCCTTCAGGTTTTTGCACTTCCGAGGCGTCCAGCCACGCATCAAAGTACCTTGTGTAGCCTGCCCAGTGTATTAAAACTCTGCCACCATTGTCCACATCAAGAACAGTCCCGTTCAGCCACTGTCCCAACACAGGATCAAATGCCTGAACCTTATCTCCATTCTTAAAGGCAGTCGCAGACTGTGAAAATGCAAAAAAAAAATCACGGTTAGGAAGATGAAACGTCTAAGGGTGGATTTCCACTGTTGCATAATTTCCATGAGCGTGCACCAAAAACGTTACGCGCGAATAAAATCAGCAGAGGCCATGTATTAAACGTAAAATCCGTGAACAAGGTTCACTCAAAATTCCATACATTGCCTCTAGTTTATTCAATTTGCTCACCTGAAAATGAAATGCACTAATTTTTACACTGCGACTTATATGATGATTTGAGAAAGATCAGTGAACGAAATAAGTTTTCTGCAAATTACAATAACCGTGATAAAGTAATCTAAAGTAATCTGTTTTTTAAACCTATTTGCGCGCATAAACTTATGTTTACGATAGTGGAAATCAACAAGGGCTTTCAAAGACAAACTTAAAAAGTCAACCTTACGATCCTCACCTCCATTATTCCTGGTTGTAGGTGGACTAGCTTAAACAGGTGATGTAGAAAGTACACCGCGTTGGTATGCTGAGAGCTTAGCGTAAGTGGAAGCACAATGAAGGAAGACGGCGTACATGATCTTTTATAAGTCAACTATTACACGTTTCGTGCGTGATTTCAGTGACTCTAGCATTTTCGTTCCGCTTTCAATTAGTGTCTATTTGGGTTTGGCCGTTTTCCTTTTTTAAACATTATCGATCTCGGAAAACTTGCATGAGTCCTTCAATAATTGAAATAATCATTATCGCCCCACACGCAAATGGTTTACTAAGTACTGGTGCTGAGTTTGACTCGTGCTCCAAATGTACTTGGTCAAAGTTTGTAGTATTTACTTTTTACATGGGAATTCATCCGAAATTGACCATTTCAATCATTGTTTATGTAGTCATGGAAAAAAGTCCGCCAGAGTATTTTTTAACCATGACATGCAAGGCGTGATTATTAGATGTTTCGTAGCATGTTGCGTGTTTTCATGATACACGCGAACGCTCTAAACATGACTCTTGCGTGAACTAGGACCGGCGTAAACTGACAAATGACTAGCTACACCCTGATAAGAAGTTTACCGACTGAGTTAACATCTTTTACCTGATGTCGTAAGTCACGAACACTTTGAGCTTCTGCAAAAACAAAGGAAAAAGGAAAAGAAAAGAAAAAAGCCGGAAAATTGTTCACAAATGGAATTTTTACCTCAAAGCATTATAATTCAAGTCTTTTCTTACTTACCTTACAAGTTTATCCGGGCAACAGCATCATTGGTGTGCAAAGCTTGGTGCCAAGCTGCTTATGACCGTAGTTTGATCAGGTATGCAAAAGAGGAGGAATTTCTGGAAATAACTGTGAGGAATTCGTCCAAAGAGACTGTGGACAACTTCCTTCAAGCCGTAAATTGGAGACCCCGCTTGTTTCACTATATAGATTTGAGTTGCTCCAAAACAACATGGGAAACATTTTGCGAAATTGTACACCTCTGCACTGAACTGAAAATTTTGAACATGGCTGGGATAAAAGGCGAAACATCTCGACACCCAACAATTCGAGCATCCAAAATTGTGGAACTTAACTTAAGTGAGACATTGATAGACGACAATCTTTTGGCGTTTATTACAGAACACCTTCCAATGTTAGGCATTCTCAATGTCTCCGGATGTTACAGATTGACAAATGTCGGAGTTGAAAAGGCATCCTTCCCCACGTTGCGTTTTCTTGCTATAGCCAACTGTTTGATCGACGTGGAGGGGATACTTTGTGCCATAAACAAGCATGATATATTTGCAATGTGTACAAGGGAACTTAAACTAGAAAGTGAGGATATTGTCCGCCTTTTAGAATCATACCCTGATATAGCCGAAATTGGTATTCCCACTTTGTGTGGACTGCCGCAAGGAACTGTTTCTCCGGAAGCGCTCCCACTACTTTGTTTTTACTGTTGTAGATCACGTCATTCTACAATTCTGAAAACTAGTCAAGCCATTGATGGTAGCTGGATGGAGCTGTAGAATGAAGGCTGTCTATTACACTATACTAAAGCAATCCCCCTAAACGATGATTTGGGACTAGCCTTTTCAAAGTTCAATGAGAAAACGTAATATTTTTAAATTATTTATTAAACTGCTTCAGCTTCTGTCTTTTAATAACACAACAAAATAGAAAAAAGAAAACACTGATAATGATCTGCATTTTTCCATTTTATAGTTTATTACCATTTCTTTTAGCTTGTGTAATAATACTCGAAATTCAGCAGCAAACTGATTGTTTGCAGGAGCCGATTCTCCGTTTTTTTGTTACAATTCACTTACTTAAGCGTTGAACTTAACAATCTCATTTTCATGTTGATCCTTTTGTCTGCTCCCAAAAAATAGCGTTTGTGTCCGAAACTTTGATTATTTGGTTGAATATAAAAGTTTGCCTGCTTAAATCTAACGAAAATGTATAGTTATTGTACGTGATCGTACATTGTTGTACATTTTTAGGTGCTTATTAAATAACCTGATTGGAAAACCAATTGTTGTCGTGACTGAAGAACCTTACTGTGGCAACATATCACAACGTTGTCAATCCACACCCCTAATACTTCGCTGTTGGGTAACTAGTTGTGTTACTAGTTATCCAGATCCTCTGATAAAACATTCTTTTCCTTTTTTAAACAAGGTGAGCAGATAAGAACTTTTAATGTATGGTCGCTGCATGCAAACTTGCATGATTTCTTCTGAGCAACAATCTTTGTCATGCAATTAAAACTACTACATATAGTCTTCTTCAAATTAGACAACTTTTAATTGAAGCTTTCACGACTGTCTTGAAAACCTCCTACCATCCCGTGTATTGACATTATTTACTGATATTCTTCAAAATGGAGGAAGACACCTGGATGTTTAGCTACAGTTCGGAGGAAGAATCAACTGAAGGTTAGATATCTCCTTTTTTCTGAAGCAGTTTCTTTGTCGTAAAAATAGTGTTTTTCTTTTCTATCACATTTGAGGATATAACAACTGTTATTTGTAAGTAATTTACTTGTCTTTTTGTTTAATATAGATAACGTGTTTATCGATCGTAATGACCGTGAAGTCTTGACAATCGAGGCATCAACCTCATCAGGTGCGTCAGGCGAGGAAACGCCAATTCACACAGGTACTGACCTACCCTAATAACTAGATTATAAACCTGCTTTCCAGGTTAGAGTCTGACCGTGCAATTGGGACTAAAACTCGGTAGAACAACGCGATGATGTATCGCAAAAAGCGTTTTCTTTCTGACTCTGGTTTGAAAATGAATAATAGATCGAGTTCTGAGTTCTTTCTAACCTAGGCTGTCTGCAGGAGCAGCCAACGACTGAAAGTTTCCGAATACGCCAGAAATGTATCAGATGGTTTTCTCAGTCTATGCTTTAGAAGCCTGTTTGTTTAATTTGGAGTTGCCCTAAAAACTATTTATCTGTTCGGATTCCTTAGAAGAAATTTGGTCGTCACAAAAGTTTTAAGTGCCTTTTTCGTCTCATCTCATCCGTGTCCGCTACCCTTATGGTTCGGTCGAAAGTTCGAGGACATTAAGTAGCCTTGCTTTCAATAGAAAATTATAGGGGACATTTTGTCTTTATACCGAAAGTTTTGCACCGAGGAGACCTAAATTAAACAATATTCGCAATATCTTGGAATTAAAACTTTTAACACCAAGGTAAAAAAAATTTTAAAAAAATAAAAATGAGAATAACACAACCTTCGAAACTCGTAGTTAAGCTATTAGAAAACCTCCGAATATTTTAGAATGCAACGGTTATCCAGAAAATTTTAGCTTTTCTCCAGCTTTAGAAATTTCTAGGCAACATTTGCTCCTTCCAACAGTTATTTTAAAGAAAAAAGTCGCTGGGTGCCCTTGTGTCTGTTGTTGTAACATGCACAAACGCAACAGCGAAGACCCGTACAAGGATCCTAATTCCAAAATTTTGTCAATAATATAGGTGTCAGGCCGGGAAGACCTTCACTAGCGAGTCAAAACCCAGAGATTGTAGCTGTTGTTAAGGAGTTTATTGCCCAGCACTCTGCCGCTGCACACAATAGACGCAGGGAAGACACCGAATATTGTCATGGAGTCAGCATAGAACAGATTCGTAGACATGTGCTTCGGACTATCCCTGAAGTAAAAAATGTCTCAAAGTCAACTATAAGGCGCCTCCTCCTACCGCCACAAAAGAACAGAAAAGCTGCCAGCAGATATACCGGTCTTGTTGAAGCCAAAGTCCCACCGAAACGAAATGATCTAACTGTGAATGAACACGCAGATTTCCACTTCACTTGTGCCCAAGTGAATTATATCGGCGAACTTTCAGAGATGCTTGTTAATGAAACAGTAGCGTTGTCTACAGACGACAAAAATAAGTTAAATGTGGGTACTTTAGCAGTTAGTCGTTATTTTAATCAAGGTAAATTTTTTATGACAAATGATCAGCCAAATTATCCTGACCACGATTTTCCTTTCAGTGGCGCTAAACTCATCCCAGCAGGCTACCTTTTACTGAAGTCTAGGATTAGAAGGTCACGTAGTTTGTCTCCCCCACCTAGGTTCTCTGGTAATGTTAAAAAAAGGCGTTCGTCCTCTCAGCCAGCACTTTTACGTTATAAATCAAGGGAGAAACTTCACGAAATGAAGTATAGAGATGAATTGGGAAGGGAGAGAATTTCTTGGCCACGCACTGGCCAAGTCAGTGTTTATTTGTATGCCTCTCTGTTCTACAGCAGTACCAGCGCTTTACATGCCAGCCACCTAGAAGAAATCTTAAAACCCATAGTAGAATGCGAAAATAAGGGGGCTGTGACGATCTTATGTGATGGGGGACCTGACTGGAGCACAAAGTGTACTCCAAATTTAATTAATTATGGGCGATTGTGGAAACGTCTTAAATTAGACGTACTTGTTTTGACTTGCTATGCACCAGGGCACAGTAGATTTAACCCAATCGAACACTGTTGGGCCCCTCTTTCCAAAAAGCTAACAGGCGTGACACTGCCTATCAGTCTTTGTGAAGACATACCTTCCCCATGGGTAGAAAACGGTTTGTCAAACGAAGAAAGGTTAAAAAAAAAAGGGGAAGTTCTGAATCATGCCATTGAGACATGCAAAAAATATTGGCACAATAAGAGGTATGATTCTTTTCCTATTAAGGTTGTAAGTGTACCATGCGAAGGGTGTGCTCCTCTTGAACGAGATCACGAGCTACTGAAAACCTTTTCTGATGCAAGCGCTCGTAAAATACGGAAAAGCGCCGAATTATCAGATATCCAGAAGGAGTATCAGTTTTTAGTAATGCATTGCTGTAGGAAAACGTATCAGCTGCAATTTTCACGCTGCGATCAGGATTCTTGCGGGCATTGTCGCACAACACCAGTTCGTGCTGAGAGGTTTTTAAGCATTCTTCAAAAAAATGGTGATGTACTGCCAACTCCCACCTTGAGTTTAATTCACAAGGGTCATTATGACACAATGCTGCACCAAGTGTCAGCTATAGAGAGTAGTCAAAAATCTTTGGGCGTTGACGAAGGTTTGCCTAGTTTAAAAGGTAAAAGGGTACCTTTGTGCCCATTTGGTTGTCGTTATGTGTTTTCAAGCCACGCTGATGCTCTTAGACATTGTCGCCTGATGGATCACTCAGCGATAAGAGGGTGGCGGTCAAAACTTCCAAAATTCAGGTAGGCACTGATCAGTGCTATATTGTAATGTTCTAGCGAGGCAATTTAGTTGTCATTTTTTAGAAAATACTGCAAAAAAACATTGTATTAGTCGCAACTATTACAGGCGATAAAACCTGAATCTACTTGAACTTCAATCATGCAAAATGCCAAAGTGTGAATTGACGTAACACATTTTTTCTCTGCAAAACCCAGTTTTCCAAGTTTGGGATGAGTGTTTACGGTGTAGTGTCGCAACTAGGCACTGTAAAAGTTGGACTTATGTAAGCATTTCTTTATATTATTAAATTTTGATAACCTCAACTTGTAGGCTTGATTTTTTCTTGTTGTTCCTTAATACCCCCTCTTAATACAGCATCGACAAAATCAACCCTTCTAACCTCACAGAGAGAGAAAGTTTATTATTTGTTGATCTAAGTTTAGCGCGGTGAACGGCACCATTATGCTGTCACCAGCGTTTTTTTTATTACAGTTAAAAAGGTGAACTTTTTAAATTATTACACTTTGGTTTTAAAGTGTATGAGCACTGTGGAAACAACAAAGATGACCCATGACAGATAACGCGGGGTATAAACTTTGCCGGTTTGTGTTTTTAATATTGCTTGAGCTTGAAGCGAGTTTTGAAAAACTAGACTTATATTTTCGCGTATCTAAAACTTTATTCATTCACATTCAGTTCCAATAAGCTTTAGTTTTGTTAGTGGTCGTGAACAGTGAAAAACTATCTATCTTATCAGTGGTATGTTTAGCCGTAGGTTGAGCTCTCATGGCATGGCACGTCATTTTTTCAATTCTCACGTTACCGATCACGAAAAAAAAAACTAGCATTCGAGAATGTGTTCTTAAGTGGACCTGTCCGTTTTATCACGGAAAAGAAAAGAAAAGATTCCAGTTTTACCACTATGGTTATGCTTTCACTCGGCCTATAGTAGTAATATATCATAGAAGGAATAATAAAGTCCTTTTCTGTTTTAACACGCTTGTGTGACCTCAATCAGTTCCGGCCCAGCCCCCTTTCACTTGACGGGAGGAGAGTTAATGATGATAAAACATGCAAAACGCCATGCTGCAATACTTTTCATTGTAGTGTCTAAAACCTGCAGATTAAACTTAAAATGTCAAGCGTAAATTTTCTTGAATTTAGAGAGAGAAAACTGAAAAGCAATGTCATCAGGCCCTACCATGCTTACGCTTGAAGAACAAGTAAGTCACAAAGCCATTCTTTTTTTAGTCAGTTTGGCCGCTAGGCAGTCACGAATTTTTATGAGAGGTTTCCAAATATGACTCGCTCTACATTTTGTTAGAACAGCGTGGAAAAGTTTGTAAGCAATTACCGATCGGCTGACAGAAAACAAATCGTCGAGCAGCCTTGTAGACATCTTCGAACCAACTTATAAGACAAAAAAACATCTACTGAAGTATTGTTATAATTATTTTACTATTGAGAACGAAGCAAGTTTTAAAGACTGTTTTGTTGAGTGAAATGACTCTTTCATTATTTGGTTTCGTGGCATGTTTGCAGAATCACATATCCTTATCAGATGAATGTGATACCCCATTATCCACATCGGAATGTTTCTGGCTCCGATTGAATCGGCAAAGTTTTTATCTTTATCGGAAACGGCAACTAGTGCCTACAGATAGGTACCGATTCCGATCAATCGGAAAATTGATCGGGTCCGTTTCCCATGATCGGGTTGCCTACCGATATTTGGACGCGTTCCCTAACGTTTTTTACATAATGATTTTAAATACAGAAAGAAATCACAACTCCTTTTGAAGTAATTTCTCTGCGAGAGCTGAAAGTTTTTTCTGTAGGCAAGAAAAAGCGAGGGCCGCTGTCGTTTGGTCATTGCGCGCCAAAATTGTAATCGTTGGTAACAGTAAATGAGTTAAAAGTCATCATTTTTGTGCTCAATTAATAATAATGATGATCGTTTATTCAACCTTTTTGCAGCATAAACTGAATTACAAGGCGGGTCATTAATTACATACAAATACTTCAGAATTATGACACATAAATATAATTGTTAATGTTAAGACAGATCACATTTTGGTATTTCAAACGTGATTCTATTATTTGATGGTGCAAAAATTTCCAAATCTGTTAGTTCTTGAGGAGGCAGGCACAGAAACAGTTTCTCCTGGTCTAATGGCATATGGTCTTGTGTTTGCAACTCGCGGCACTAAGTTTCGTAGCAGGTCAGAAGAAGAGCAACTTCGCTTGAGAAATGTTATGCACGCATCCTCCCTCCTCTGACATAGTAGAATTGAACCTGATTTCTTGAGGACGTCCTCATAGCACCGAGAAGGAAAAATAATTTTTAGTGCCCTCTTTTGTATTGATTCAATTTGATCACTTAAGTATTGCATGAGGTCAGCTCAAGCGTGACTCGCATACTCTAACACAGACCCGATGATACTACAATAGACAAGAATAAGCTGGCTATCAGTTAGTCCGCACTTCTTAAGGGCGCGTATTGCATATAACCGTTTACTCCCTTTCTTTACAGTATGGGTGACATGCCTGTCCATGTTAAGTTATGCGACAAGTGAACCCCTAACAGCTTTAACAGGAAACGTTTTCTATCAGAGAGCTACCAACCAGAAGAGGTGCTGGTGGAAACGGGCAATACTGCAAAAAAGTAATGCACATTTCCTTGCATTTTTTACCGTTAAGAACCATACATCTCACCACTATCAACTGACTCCAAAATTGTGTGAAGTAAATAGACCAAGGCCTGCATAGTGGATCTTCCTGGGAGAGCAAACTGCATACTGTCCAACTTGTCCCAAACACACATGAGTAGGGACTTAGCTGAGAAACCTTCCAGTACTTTGGCTACAGGTAAAGTTAACGACACGGGTCTTAAGTCACTTTCAACAGACATTGGAGGGCCGCACTGTGGGACAGGAACTGCAGTAGCTGGCTTCAGTTGTGCTGGAACCCTGTTCAAGCGAGGAGTTGTATATGTCAGCAAGAACAGAGAAAGGTCAAAGGCAAACTCTGTCCAAACAATATTCGCGATCAACTCGGAACCTGGGGATTTTTTAGCCTTCAAGGCACGTTCACTGTTTTAGTATGTACTAAAACAATCATTCATCTCAGTGTCGGTGACTAATGGTGGTTATTTACCGAGAAGCAAAGCCACCTCCACTTTGGTGAATAATTGTTACATATCCTTCGAAAGCTGAATTCATTAATTGCTTTATTCTTCATTCAAAATAATTCCTATGTCAAAATCAAGCGAGAACATGCTTACCTTCGTCGATATTAAGTTTATCTCGATAGTGCATGTTTAGAAGATAAAGGTCGGTACACACGAGGCGACATGTCGCTGCAACATGTCACAAATGTCGCTGCAACACGTCGCTGCGACAAACCACTCCTTGTGAACAGGTGGGGCGACAAGTTGCTGCAACAGCTCGCTGCGACGCTTCGTGTGTACAAGATTTCGGACGAGGTGGAATGTTAAATAGTTTTATTATTCAATATGGCGGAGGCGTGATTACAGCGAATGTCAAAGAAAAAGAAGCTTTTAGTTATGTTAATGATGATGTTAGATAACGACGAATATGTGGAACACGGGGAAAGGAAATACTGGATACGCCAGTGGGTGGCAAGAAGACAAGAAAGAGGGGCTTATAACACTATTTTTAGGGAACTCGCCCTCGAGGATTCAAGTGGATTTGCAGATTACATGAGAATGCCTCATTGTAAATTCATTGAGCTGTTAAACATTATTGGTCCTTCAATACAGAAGAAAGATACTCCAATGCGAATGTCAATTCCCCCTGGTGAACGTTTAGCGTTAACCCTTAGGTATTTGGCGACTGGAGAAAGTTTTCAGTCTTTGTCATTTCAATTTCGAATTGGAAAATCCACGATTGCAGAAATTGTCTTGGATGTTTGCACAGCTATAATCAATACCTTGAAGGAGAAATATCTCAAAACACCTGACAGGGAAGAAAAGTGGCATGAAATTGCCGACTTGTTTCTCTCCAGGTGGAACATTCCCAATAACATTGGGGCAATCGATGGAAAAAGAATTGTGATTCAAAAGCCAGCGTATGCAGGATCTCGTTATCATGATTATAAAGGCAACGAAAGCATAATTGCCCTGATGGTGGTTTCTGGCCCAGACTACGAGTGCCTTTATGCTGATGTTGGAACAAATGGGAGAAACCCTGATGGCCATGCATGGGCAAGGTGTAATTTAAAAGAGGCACTGGAAGACCCCGCTAATCCACTTCATATTCCACCTCAGCAACCCTTACCAGGTCGATCTGAACCTGTGCCTTTTGTTCTAACAGGGGATGAAGCCTTTGGGTTAGCAAAGTATATGTTAAGGCCTTACCCTCAGAAAAATTTAACAGTAGAACAGAGAATTGCCAATTATCGTATTTCAAGAGGCAGAAGGATCTCTGAAAACATTTTGGGCATTATGTGTAATAGATGGCGTTGTCTTAGAGTACCCTTCCTCTTAAGTCCAGAAAAAGTTAAAATAATTGTATTAGCAATACTAGTACTTCACAATTGGCTTAGAGCAGACATAAGCAGCAAACATGTGTACTGTCCCCCTGCAATGATGGATCAGGAAGATAGTAACACAGGTGAGGTTTCTCCAGGCACATGGAGAGATGACACTCTCAGAGAATCTTTTCTGGATCTTGAAGCTTCCTTATCAAGGAATTCCACCAGAGTGGCCAAAGAGATGCGTGAGGAGTTCACAAGCTGGTTTAACAATGAAGGAGATGTAGCATGGCAGAGGAAAATGTGTGGACTCTAATCTGTTTTGATTAAATACTTGGCTGGCAAATTCAAGGTTTTTCTAATGTACACTAGGTGTTTCTGTTTTTCTGTTCTTGTATCCACAATAACAAGACCAAAAGAGTTTTTCAATGAAATTTTCATTTGTAGATCCCAGGGAGTCTTCATCATTTATTAGCAGGGGGCAGGTGAATGGGTGGGGTAAGCTACAAAAAATAATGGCAGCTCCTTGAGGGGAGAGAAAAGATTTTCCTTGGAAAAGGATAGGTCAAAAGTGTTTTGATTGATAATCTTCTGTCAACTGATAAGAATGACAACCTGGTTTACCATACTCCTTTAAACAGTATGTGGTGAAAGTAAAAAATGCAGTTGACAACAATGCCAAGGTTTTGGCATTTACATTATTCTCATTGCTGAAGACCTTAAGAATATATACCACTTGAAAATAGATTTCTGTCAATCCTTTGATTGACAAAAGTCTACTTCCAAAAGTAGTTTTGATTTTGAAGATCCCCTGTCAGTGGAAATAATGGTTTATGTAAACACAAACACTGAATCTTCACAGTCCTAGTAATACTTGTACAATTGTTCTGTATTTTGACTTTCCACGGAAATCTAGCGGTGGTTCTATTAAAAACCCAAAGGTCAAACTGCTAACATCTAGAACCTGCAGTTACAGCCAAAATCTTTTAATAATTTCAAAAGAGCACAAACAAATAACTCTTTCATTTTGGCAACTTAACCAATTCGATTGCCCCACAAAAGGCTGGTAATTACATTTCTAAAGATAAGTATTTTAAATTGTTGTTCTTCATAGGAGGGGTGGGGCTTGAGTCAAGCACAAACAGTTTTAAATACCAAGTCCCCCCCCCCCAAATACACACATACCATGCTGATAAATAAATAACACTCTCCATTACTGTGTAATCATATATTCCAGCTGTGCAAAGATCAGTTTTGTAAGTCAACAAGCGTTCATATATTTGTGTTGAGGCTCGAATTTCAAAAGAAAGTGTTCTTTCCTGCAATTTATCAATATTACTCATATAGTAGGCTTGAGTTCATTTTCGGTACATTTTTTACATAAAATATTCTTGTGGTGTCCAGAGCACTGTGTTTTCATTTAAGTAAAGCCTCTTGGTAGATGTCCTTTTTACTATTATAACTCAACGAAAGCAGGTAAATACAAATTATGAACTAAAGGAGAATGAACAAATTATTGTTAATGAAAATGGAAGAGGTGAGTGATTACTAAAATCAACTAAATGTTCTGCATTGCCAATTATGTAATTAAATCTTTAATTGGTGTATAGACCTTTGTCACATGGCGGCCATTTTGTCTCAGGAGATTTAAAAAGCTTTGTTTATGCACAAAATCGTGAGTCTTCAAGCTTAAAGCTTGGTTAATGTTTTAAGCTGGCTTCCCGGTGTTTGCTTTTTTCAAAGACGAACTCAAGGCAAGAAAATCGCTCAAAGCTTTCTTTTACAGCCAGAATTATAAGTAAATATTCTTTGGAACGTTTTCTTCCTACTTGCAGTGAGAAACTGACTAAAAGCTCTTTAAAGTTCTGTAAGCTTATGTCAAACCTGATACTCGGTCAGATCATTGTCTCAAATCTTACAAACGTGCATAAACTACGCTCGACTTCATTAAATTAGATACAAAAAACAAATATCAAATACAATAATTACTCTGGCTTACCATTCGAGGTGCAGCTCCTGAAAGGTATCAAGTAAGGCCAGTATCGCTTCAGACCTTGCAACCCTCTTACGCATCAAGCAAGGTGAAAACGAAAACGATGCCATCCGAAATTGGATTTCCGACGTTGGCAAGCCATGTATTTCTCAACCAAAAACCCAATAAACAAACTAGCCATGAATAACAGAAGACTCCTGATAGCAGCTGAATTTCATTTTGTACGTCCGGTGGAAAAAGACAGTTAAAAACATCAATGGTTGACACAAAACTCTGTCAGCTTCAGCTGTCAAAGTAAACAAGATTCAAGATGCTGCATAAATTTTCCGCATGAACTCGCCTGTAAATTTTGACCAATCAGAGCATAAAAATTGAACAGGGAGTATGACCAACGTGTGACCATGGTGAGAAAAGTCAAAAGCAACAACTGTCTTCCTTGCCTGTAACAGCTGGCTGAATTTTCACGTTTGAGGTCAGTTTGAAATATTTAAATTCTCACTAAAAAGGAAAGGAATTATGATGTTTTGAAAATACCACTTAAAGCATCCTTGAGAAAAATGCAGGATTATCTTAGTTTTGAAATCAGCTTTTTTCAAAAGTCTGACATTATCTGGAGTCCTGGTCACTATCCCTATGGCTATAACTATCTCATATCCAACAAGCGCGATTGGAATATTATTGTTTCATTAAATAATTTTAGTCAATTTCATTTGAAATATTACAAAATGACCGGATATTAATGTAACTTCCAGTAAACCAAGGGAAAATCACATGAAATGTGCGCCATTTGCGAACTTAGTTGAATGAAAAATCTGAAAGGGAAGGACGCTGTGCCTAAATTATTCTCGGCCAGGTTCTGTTTTTGCTTTCCCTCGCTGTGATTGTGGAATTTGATGCTGGATAGGTCGACTTGATTGCTCTTCAATGTCATTTTCTTCGTCCACTGAATTGGTGCTGCACAAAGACCCAGCTTCATCAATCAATGTGTTGTTCTTGTTGTTCAATTGAAAATCACTCGTACGACTCACTTGAGGGCCATTATGATCTGTTGTGGATGTAAGGAAGTGTTAAGAGGTGTAAAAGCTCTTCAAACCTGCAAAAAATCTGCTAATGGACTTGCAAGCCATTGTGAAAATTTTTAAGGTAAACTTTGTTGTTGTTGTTACATTATCAGCTCAACGTACGGAAGAATTAAGCTTATAATTTCTTTAAATTTATAAGGAAACTTTGGAGTACCATTAAATAATTTCAAACCAAAATTTGTGGCTTTTTTGTTGCTGCCGGTATGGTATTTTCTGTGTTTTTCTGTTGTTTCGTTGGTAGAAAAATCGCGAAATCTACTTTGCCGCTTTGTCCGAGAGTAATTTAGTTGTTTTCCACATTAGGTCAAACTAAGGTATAGGAGCTGATAACCGAGGTTGAGTGAACCAATCAGAATACTAGAAATGCATTATCCGAGGTTGAGACTTTAGTAATATAAGATATCCACTTCCTCAAGGTCAACATCAGCTTCATCCAAGTATCTCTCAAAATATTCTGGTTCCCATGGTGACAAAAAAAAGGTCAGGAATTTCTGAAGTAACAAGTTGATGAGTGTTATCCAAGTGCGGTAGATCTCCCAATGTGTCTTGAACTGTTTCTAGAATTTTCATGCAGTGATTCAGTGAGTACACGTCCAAGCATTCAAAAACATCCTTAACTGCAAACAAGCAAGTTCCTTGGAAAATACATGCTATGGTGCAGCTCCAAAGGCATTCTATAAATGCTTCTCTAATGTCAGCTTTGTCTTCATCACAGACAGGTCTAGTGAGAGATGGTAATGATCCAGGTAGAGGAGTCTGTTTTTCAAATGGTACCAGCACAGTGCAGTTTTCATAGCTGACGGGTTGGATTTCGGTATCAAATGACTTGTACAGTCTACTCTATAACAGCCCTCAGATTTTACAAGATCGTTGACTTCATCTTCACAATGAGACAATTGCTTACCGTGGTAAATGATTATGAGGTGTGATCTATGTCCTTCTATAACCAGTTTCCCGTAGATGGTCTAATATATTTTGCGTGCCAGACCGCAGTTAATGATGCACCTAACATTCCCAAAGTTGACGCCCATATTGAGAGCAGTGCTAGCTACAATTATTTTTTTTACTGCCTTCTAAGATCTGCAAGAAGCTTCTCCTTCATCTTGGGCCCATTAACAGAATGGAAGATTCCTGTAATGAAGTTTTTGATTCTGTTGAGCCAGCAGGCAAAGTGGCATGTTTTCCAGCTTGAAGAAGAGCAAGTTGACCACAGGTGATATATTATTAAGAGCGTTGTATCTCCTTTTTCGTTAACTTCCTCCACAAACCAATCAACTTTGTTTATCTAAATCATCCTTCTTTACTTTCCGGACAGAAATCCTGATGTTTGGTCTGTGAGGACTAATGAAGATCTTAAGGACATTTTTATTTAATGACAGCCTTCTGCATATTGTGCTCTTGGTTGTATGATCAGCTGTCCCAGCTAAAGCAAGAATGGGAGTTCCTAAATATGTAAAGAGAATGATAATTATTAGAACGCTCTCCAACATCACTGTCACCATGAAACAAAGGGAGTACATGTATAAGTGAACAGTGGAAATCTTTTTGGAATGGTTCAAGTCAAGTCAATTCTTATTTAAACTCACACAGAATAATAATTAATACAAATTAGTGCTTTAAAACATAAAATAGAGAGATTGTGAAGGAAAAGAAATCTTCAATTGTAGGTTCATTGTGCAGAGTATGGGACACCTAAATAGTTTGTGGAAGTAAGCGAGTCGGTGACCCAAACAAGAATATGAGTAGAAGGAATATAGATACACAATAGTTGTTTTAGATTAAAAGTATTACTTCATTAATTAAATAGTAGTTAAAGATAATATAATCGTAAAACATTAGGAATCAATAATAGTATTATAACCATCAATCACAGAATTCTTGATATATTGACAAATACTGGAAAACGGCTTGATTTTCTTAACAGTTTCTGTAGGTGGCGTGTTGGCTTTCTTTTGGTTTTTTCGTTTGTCAGGCATCTTGTCAATCAGAATGAAGTAATACTATTAAAGTTTAGATGGAAATAGCGAGACCAGATCGGTGAAAACAGGAGCAGGTCAAAAACACAACTGCCATCTTTCCCGACTACTGATTTTGGCAAAGCTACTACAGTATATATAGATCAAACCTACTATAACTTGAAAATGGCCTTCCTTCCAATGCTTCCATTATCATTTCCAACTTTCGGGATTTAAACGTATGGGATGATAATTAAAAATAGCAAACCTTGTCTGCACAAAGATC